CAGAAATTTGTCAAATTGGGTCATGTGGTAGTTGAGAAAAAAAGAATTGGGAATATTTGGTTGGCTTTCAAAATTTTTGTTTTGGGATTTTTTGGAATTTTTGAAATTTTGGGTTTTTGGAATTTTTGAAATTTTGGGGGTAATTTGACAATTTTTGGTGATTTTGGGTAATTTGGGTGTTTTCAAAAGGTTAGAAATGATTTTTGAACAAGTTTGGGTATTTTGGATAAATTTGAAAATTTTGACTAAATTTAGGGATACAAGGGTACTTAGGTAATTTGGGGGAGTTTAGGGGTAAATAGTCAAACTGAGTATTTTTGGTAAAATTGGGGAACTAACCACAGAAAGTAAGGCATGAACCAATGAAAACCCCATTTGGGTCCTCTATGTACTGGTCTTATCTAAACCCTAGCCTAGGGCTAGTGGGTTTAGGGGACCATCTACATGAGTTTCCCAAAGGCTCAAGGGACCAATGTCAGAAAATTCTGGGTTTAGGGCAGTTGGGTTTAGGGTAGTGAGTGATTGTGAGTGAAGTGAGTGCCTTAGCTCTAGAACAACACCCAATGTCAACCCTAAGGTCAAATAGCCCTATAGGAACTCTCCTTGAGCTCCCTCATAATGACCCCACCTACTAAGTGCTAGAGGTTAGGACCAATATGTGAAACTTCAAGTTGAGTAAAGAAGAGTTTAGAATTTTTAATGGTGAGGGTTCCTTTTTCTAGTTCTCTAAGAATAGTCAATAGGAAAGTCCTATGGCTAGACCCTAGGCTACTAAAGAGAAAGACTAGACCTCAACCAAATGTGAGGTCAACACATTCCTTTGGCTTGGATTTGACACTGTCTGTGTAATGGGACTCTTCCACTCACTCGACATCTTGGGATGCCTGTTGAGCTTGGGGTTTAAGTGTTGGTGGATTACCTTGCGAGAGAGGTTGCTCCCTTCCCTCTAGCACCACCCGGGCCAGCTTCACAATTTGACATGCCATTCGATCATGGAGCCCTTGGATTTAATGTTGCATGAATTTTCGAACAGACTCCATATTGGATGCTTCTCCTGGATGTGTTCCTTAACCTTGACGCGCTTCACGTCTTGTTGAAGGCATGACTCCATGCTCACCGAATATTTTAGGATGTTGGATCTTAGATTGCCTTATGGATCACACCCAATGAATAGAGCGTTGGTTGAATGAAAGAAAGAGAAATAAAAAACATGTAATACTTAGTTTTTGTGAAGTTTCTGGGATCCCCTCCCTGTGAAACTAATCATTCTATTTATAACGCTTCGGTAAGGTATTACAAATGACATGATTGTCTCTCCATTCAATGAAAATGTTACTACAATTGATAATCCTTTACACCCTTAAATATTTATAATTGAATAATACATATTATGACCTTACAACCATCGTTGGCTTTGTTCTACATCTATAACTGCAGCCGATGCCGCTTCGTATCTGTAACTGTCAGGTATGGACATTTGGTATTCAATCGGTTGGCCCATAATCATTTGACCGGATGAGTAATCTTTGTATGATAAAATCAGCTTCAATTAAATGTTGATCTTTTATAATTACAGAAGCCGTTCGAGAGAGTGCTACATAGTCGCACGGTGTTTGTTGGGTCGGTTAGTATTTAGTTCGGTTGGCTTCATGGGACCGATCTACTTCATGACGAATGTCCGAACATGAATCTTCTTATGTGATCCAAGTGTCTTCTCGAGATTTGTGGAGGCATATTCCTAATGTACAGACTATTTACACAACAATTTTAAATTGAAAACTCACTGTTGGTTTATGTAAGTGTTGTCTAGGTGTTTGCCATCAAGCCATAATTGGAGTTGTCATTTGGCATATTGCCGTTTAAGTGTTTGCCATCAAGCCATAATTTGACTCAAGTGATTCATCATGACAAAATGCATAAATAGATTGCCTTGGTTATCCAAAACTATTATAACCAGGAGTTACCAATAGATATTTTTAACTCAAACGAGGACGGTGGAATTTTATTTGCGCATTTTAATCAAAGGAAAGCAATTGCTTCACCGCCGTTAAGTGAGAAAATGAATTCTTGGTTGACTCAGTAAATTCAAAAGAAACCAATAAAATGGTGCATCTTTTAAGTTCTTTTATTTATTTTAATATTTTAATTGTTTTGTTGGCTACGGAGAAAAATATATATTTTTTATTTATTTAACTATATTCAAAATTATCTATGAAAAAGATGAAAATTTTGATTCAATGATTGCTTATTGTTTAGCTTACTTTGTATTGATAAGGTGTGAGTATAACAAAAATTGAGCATCTAAATTAACAAAACTAATAAAACATCAATTAAACTTGCAATAACTAAGCACGCAACATCCTCAATGATGCCATTTCAGGAAAAAATCAAATCTTGCGCCAATCTGACTGCACGATCTTTCATATGCAGTTCCAGTCCTTTCAGTATACTGAAGATCAGATATCTCTGAGGATGAGAAAAATCAGTAACAACGAAGACATGGCTCTTCCTCTCCACCTCAATCCAGCTGCATCCCGCTGGCTTCCTCATATCCTTCATCTTCATCATCCTTCTTACCTCCTCAACACCATCCCACCTTCCATCTGCAGCGTAGATATTCGACATCACCACATAATTCCCAATATTCAGGCCTTCAACACCAAATAACTGATCTGCCGCAATGCGGCCGATCTCCACCTCGCCATGAATCCCGCAGGATCCCAGCAGAGACCCCCACACATTGGCATTTGCCTCGCAAGGCATGTCTTTGATGAAACCATATGCTTCTTTCAGCCATCCCCTTCGAGAGAGAAGATCAACCATGCAGGCATAATGTTCCATAGTTGGTTTGATCCCATGAACCTTACTGATGGAATTAAAATGTTCCCATCCCTGCTCAATCAGCCCGCCATGGCTGCAAGCTGACAGAAGAGAAGTTAGGATGACATGATCTGGCTTAATATTTGATTCCAGCATCTGGGAGAAGGTTTGTAATGCCTCTTCCGCCATTCCATGAATCGCATAGCCTTGAATCATAGTAGTGAAGGTGATCAAATCCTTATTTCGAGTTATCTGAAACTGTCTGCAAGCGTCCGTTATGCTTCCACATTTGGAGTATGCGTCCAGCAGCGCTGCTCCCAGATGTTCCACTTCAAGAGAAGCTCTGATCGTGTATCCATGGCATTGTTTTACAAGATGAACGAAGGATACATGAGCGCAAGCACTGAGAACGCTCATTATGCTCACAATATCAGGTCTTCTTCCTTCTTTTTGCAGTTCATGGAACAAGATGAAAGCTTTATCAATGCAGCCATTTTGAATGTAGAGTTGTAACATTAGATTCCAAGTGGAGAGATCTCTCTCCGGCATCTGGTTGAATAATTTCTCAGCATCCTTTAAACTGCCGTGTTTCAGATAACTCAAAATCATGGCGTTATTAGTGGGCACGCTGTTTCTAATAGAATTTTCTTCTATGCCCCGACAGTTTGCGTATGCACCAAGAATCGCATTGATGACATTTGGGCGACTGATCAAACCTGCTCTGAATGAGTACCCGTGAGCTTCCCTAACCTTCATTATGCATAGGGAAGTACAAGCTCGAAGAACAGTAGCAATGGTGATGGAGTCTGGCTGAATCTGTACATTATTCATCTGATTCAGAAGCTTGAGGAGCTTCTCCCACTGCCCATTATCTGCAAAGGCCGTAAGCATTGCATTCCATGATATCAGGTCTTTCTTAAGTATGCCCTGAAAGCACTGAGTTGCTTCATCTACTTTACCACATTTCCCATAGAAGCTAACAAGAGCATTCCCTAAGGACGTCTCTTCACCGAGTGAAGGATGCTGCAGAATATAATCATGGATTTTCCTTCCTTCGTTGAAATCAAGCAATTGACCGCAACAAGGAAGAAGACTAATGAGTGTAAGCGAATTCGGCTTCATACCGCTTCGAAGTAAGTTGTGATACAAATTCATGGCTTCTGAAAACCATCCATTCATGGCATAACCAGAGATGAGAGTGTTCCATGTGACAAGATCTCTCCTCTTCATCTTTTGGAATATGTTTTCAGAACCGACTATGTCTCCAGCCTTCAGGTAATGAATCAAAAGAGCATTATTAACTGAAGTTTCTTCATCCAATTCAGACCTTAGAATATAACCATGGATCTCTTTTCCATAAAGCCATCCATTTTCCAGAAAACTGCATACAGGAAGTACGCTTACAAGTGTGGCATCATTAGGCATAAAACCAACTGAAACCATCTGATAAAATAATTCCAAGGCTTCGGAGAAGAAACCATTTTCAGATAAGCCAGCAATCATCGAATTCCATGAAATAATATCCTTCCCAGAAATCATATCAAAAACTTCCCACGCATCATTTACAGCTCCACCACATTTCGCATACATAGAGACAAGGGAATTTCCCGCTAGTGTCTCAGATTCCATCCCCATCTTTAAAATGCAAGCATGGAGACACTTCCCATGCTCCAAAAGTTTCAATTTTGCACAGATTGGAAGAATAATCGCCATGGTAATAGCTGTCAGTCTGGCCTGTATGCCTCCTGAAACATGCATTTTGTAGAGCATTTCCATTGCTTCCATATAAAGCTGCGCACGAGCAAAACCTGCCAACATGACATTCCAGGAAACAGAATCTTTCCGATATGAGCTCTCGAAAACTTGGAATGAATCATCTAAAGCGCCAATCCTTGCATACATGTCCATCAATGCCTTCTCGACAGGTAACAGATCATTATAGCTTGCCTTCACTGCAAAGGCGTGAATAGCTTTCCCATGAATTCCATAACAGAGCAGCGCTGAGGCCTTAATGGACGCTGCCATTGCCAACCGATCGGGTGTAAAGTTGGTGATTTGCATCCATTTGAGAGCCGATAAAACTTCAAAATCTTGTCTTTTAGCCGCGTGGAACTTGATCAGCGCGTTGCAGAATTTGTAATCTTGAGGAAGCATTTGGTCGAACAATGTATGCGCATCTCGAGTTGGTTTCATGATTTCGCTGGAAAGGCCTCCACTGAGAGATCTCAGAGCAAGAAGGGAAGGGCAGCGGACGAAAAATATTGAAAATATTTGGGATTTGTGATGGAAGGCATGTTTTGAATTTAGCAAGACCATCCATCAAATAGAAGCTAAGAATGAAGTTTTCTCCTTGGCGCTGGTGAAAATTGGAGTCCCGCAGGGAATTTAAGGGAGAAACTTCCAAGTCATTAAAAAGCTTCTCTCATAACTGTGTTTGTTGCTCAAGCACTGTAATCATTTATGAAATTCTTGCTCGAGCTTTAGTCCAGTTTTATGTTTATATTAAAATTGAGTTCCTATTTAAATTTGATTCTTTCTCCTTTCAAATGGTGATAATCAAGCCAATATCAAATAAATTAATGAGTAAATTTTTAAGCTACTTAATTTCTATTTAAATAATTTTTATAGAGTAAATTAAAATTAGTGATATAAAGTTATTTATTTTCTAATTAGAGAAAATTTCAAACAAAATAAAGATTAGTATGATTGAGATAATTATTTTTTAATCAAATGAAATTTATTGAGCGCATAAATGAGTTAATTATTAAAAATATGAAAATAAATAAGTTTTTAAATGAATTAACTATGAAATGAAGAACTAAAAGAAAAATGTAAACGAGTGAGATAAATGCAGAGCTAAATAAATAAATTTTTATCTTGTTTTATAAACTACGATTTAAAATTTATGTTAATTTAATAAAAATCAATTTTATATTAAGTTTTAATAGGGCTTATTCACAAGTTTAAATCAAACTTTAACGGATTATATTCATGAGCATTAAATTAATTATATTTATTAACTTTAAATGAAATTGTTTCTCTAGCTTCTTAACGAGCTTGTTCATGAGTTTTGAATGATATTCCTTGCGAAGATAAACTAATCGAACAAAATTGGTCTAGTTTGTTAATTTAACAGTCCAACATTTATAAGAGTATTCAAATTTATTCAATTAGTTAATCAAACGAACATGAACGAGCTCTTATCGAGCCGAGTTATGAGTACTTATTCATTTTAATCGGCCATTGCACTTTTGGGAGACGATGTCCATAATATAATAAGTGAATGATATTCTGATCCTTCCAACTCGGCTTCATACACACACAAACACACAGACACACGACACACACACATATATATATATATATATATATACATATATTGAAAGTAATGGTCAGAGGCTATTATACGAGCCCCGACCATCTCTCATGAGTCTAAGAATTCGAGTACCACACCCGACACTCGGGTGGAATCGAACCCCAGACAAGAGGAGACTTACAACTGACAAGCAGTTGTCCAACCAACTTATCTGAGCACACGATGCATATATATATATATATATATATATATATAAGAAATTCAAAGGGAACTTTATTGATATCAGGTAAAATTTAAAAAAAAATTTGAGGTAGATCCTTCAACTAGCCAAAAATACAACTTACAAAAAAAAAAAAAAAAAAAAAAAAAAAAAAAAAAAAACGTAGAAGTTCCACATCCAAGGGTATACAACCCACTCAACCAATGAGTCAATATTCAAAAATTCCAAAAGAATTGACTAAATGAAAAGATCTCCTAACATCTTAGATAAGGAATGCCCATGCTATCACAATGCACCAGCCTCTATAACCCTCTAGAAGGACAACTCCCTGCAACAACCTCAACTATCTTTGCACCTTTCCTTGCCAACAATATATATATTAAAGAAATTTATAGAGAACTTTATTGATATCAGGTAACATTAAAAAAAAATGGAGGTAGATCCTTCAACTAGCCCAAAAAAAAAAAAACATAAAAAAAAAAAAAAAAAAAAAAAAAAAAAACAAAAGGTTCCACATCCAAGGGTATACAACTCACTCCACCAATGACTCAATATCCAAAAAATCCAAAAGAATTGACTAAATAGAAAAGATCTTCTAACATCTTAGATAAGGAATACCCATGCTATCACCATGCACCAGCCTCTGTACCTCTAGAAGGACAACTCTCTGCAGCAGCCTCAACTATCTTTGCACCTTTCCTTGCCAACCAGTGAGCAGACTTGTTTCCCTCCTTATAAACAAAGCTCCAGATGATATTGAGATTAGCAGCAATCTTAAATATTCTACTAATACAATAAACAATGTTTTATGGTGATGTCTTCCTCCCTTGGAGACATTTCAATAATAGTGTTGAGTTCACCTCTACTTGCAACAAATGCTGATTAGCAAAAACAAAATATTTAATAGCAAGCTAGAAAACTCAAATTTATGCCTCCAAAAGACTTCCAGCCACACATGGAGCCACCATAAATAACAAACATCCTTATTATCCTTGAAAAACGCCCCCTGCACTAGCTAGATCCCCACCCCAACTACCATCAATGGTAACTTTCACCAAATTATAAGAAGGTTTATGCCAGCAAACTCATTTGGGTTGGCTCCTCCTCCTCTTCACCATGCCACTCTCCTCAATATTAAAATGAGAAACACCACTGAAAAAGGAAGTTTGAAAAGAGTCAAACTTGACAAGTTTATGCGCATAAGCAAGAATATTAGCTTCCACATGTTTCTCTGTGATGTTACTACCCAAATGCTTATTCGAATTTCTTTCCATCCATAAGATCCATATGATATGTAAGGAAAGAATGCTAAGAAATGGTTTTGCTTTCCCTTTGGGGTCCACTCTGCACAACAAGTATCCAAATCATCACAGGTAGAACGGACACTGGTATGAAAGATACCACTCAGCCTCTTCAATAAATGTATTACAAAAGGCCATCTAAAATAAAAATGAATAGCACTTTCCTCTCCCTCCTGCACAAAAATCATTGCGAAGCAAATCTCAAACCTTTAAGTTCTAAAATATCATCATAATGAAATAAATTGTGATAGTGTCTCCACATGGAAAAAAAGGCATAAAAGGAGTGAGTGCCTTTCCCCAAATAATATTGCCCATCTAACCAGATCATGATGATGCAAGTCCTCATATATAGTCGTGGAAATAAGTTTATCATTAGTTACTTTGATTAGAGGAGAATCCTGTTTACCACTCTTATTGGAATCTTGGAGATGTAATTTGCATTCCCCTCGCCTACATTTTCCCTAAACAAGGAGATGTTCCACCCCCCATTTTCCCAGAAATCATGCACACACAATTTCATAGTGTTTCCATTTTTCTCTTACTCTAAATCTTGCAAAGCTCAACTGCACCTCTAGAAGGAAATTTGTCCATCTCAAATCTCCCAATAGGAGTAATTTTCAGCCCAAGATTTGGCCTTTAACATTGCTTTCCGGATTTTAGAATCCCCTACTCTCTAATAGAGAGTAGAAGAATGGTGTAATTTACAGTATTTCTCATGCATAAATAAAGACTATAATGATTTTTCCATCCTAAACTTGAGCCACAAGTTTATATAGTTAATTTCAACCTTATGTTGTAACTCGTTAAATCCCAAACTCCTCACCTTAATAAGTTTACATAAAGCCTTCCATCTCACCCACAGTTTTTTTTTTTATTTTCCACGAGCCCACAAGGATTTATTGAAGCATCTTTCATGAGCCAGCTGAGTGCTAGCTTTCAGTTTTAGAACATGCAAAGAAAATAGAGGAATGCAATTTAACACACTTCTTAGTAAAATAATACGCCCCCATAGGATAGAAAATTATTTTCACTCCATAATTTTATTTTTTTTTTGTCCACCACTGCATCCATTTGTATTTGCTTTCTTCTCTATCTTATAATATTCACAGCAAGATATTTGAGGGGGAGCTCAGTTAAAGAGTATCTAGTGTAGTTGGAAATCCATTGAACCACCTCTTTATTTACATGCTTACCTACATTAAAATGGAATTTGCTTTTATTGAAATCTAGACCAGCCATCCCCTATAACTCCTCCAACAAAGCATAAAGCTTTTTAATCGCAAATTTCCCAGCTTTAGAGAAAATTATAACATCATCTGCATTAGCTAAGTGACTCACCAACAATTAGTTTTATGAGAGAACTTCACTATATAATTAAGCACCTACAATTAGTTCACCATTTGAGAAAGATTGACAAAAGCAACGATAAAATTAGTGGGTGATAATAGATCACCTTGGTTATTCTCCTCATTTCTAAAAAGAAACCATAAGTATTGTCATTTGATAAAATGTTGTATTTATTGCATGATAGCCGCCTTTTCAAGATACCTTAGAACTCCTGCTTAAATCCTCTAGCCTTAATATATTAGTAATGAAATCCTAGCTAATTGAGTCACAAACTTTATTAATATATAGCTTGAGTACCATATTACCTCCTTTGCATTTTTTATCCAAATCCTCTATTAATTTCTAAGCTAGAAAAATATTATAAAAAATTTCCCTGCCCTTTATGAAAGCTAACTGGTTGGGAGAAATAATGAAGGGAAGGTGAGGTTGGATTCTTTATACTAGTATTTTCCTTATAACTTTAAAAATGACGGAGGTTAAACTAATAGGTTTGAACTGATCTCAAGAAGCCTTTTCCCAATCTTTTGGAATTAAGATAATTGTAGCAGCTGTGAAATAAAATCCAGGGTCCTCATCTCCAAAATAGCTTTTGTTGACCTCACTTTTGGTTGAGGCAACTTGAAAAGGAATCCTCACCATTAGAAATTCTAAACTCCTCTTTACTCAACTTGAAGTTCCACATAGTTGTCTTAACCTTTAGCACTTAGTAGGTGGGATAATTATGGGGGAGCCCAAGGAGACTTCCCATAGGATTTCTTGCTCTTAGGGTTGTCTCTTGGTGTTTGTGTAGAGCTAAGGCACTCACTACACTCACCTCATTCACAATCACTCACAAATATAAACCCAAAATTTCTTGACTTCGATCCCTTAATCCTTTGGGAGACTCATGTAGATGGTCCCCTAAACTCACTGGCCCCTAAACTCACTGGCCCTATGCTAGGGTTTAGCTAAGACTAGTACATAGAGGACCCAAATGGGGTTTCCATTGGTCCATATCTAATTTATGATGGTTAGCTCCACTAAAAATACTCAACTTGGCCTTTTTCCACTAAACTCTCCCAAATCACCTAAGTACCCTTGAAATCCTAAGTTTGGCCAAAATTTCCAAATTTACCCAAAATACCCAAATTTATTCAAAAGACATTTCAAATCTTTTGAAAACATCCAAATTACCCAAAATCACCCAAAAATTGCCAAAATGCCCCTTCTTAGCCCAAAATTTCAAAAATTTCAAAAAATCCTAAAAATTCTCCAAACCTT